TAAGTTTCTCAATTGCAGAAATCATGTCTTACCCATTTTTGTATGCCCAGAAGAGTCACTGGAAAATAGTATTTCTATACTTTAAAGTTTAAGAGATCAAAAGCTTTTAAAAGCATATTTAAGTAAGATGGTTCCTAAGCAAAGCACATTATCTAAATAATGAATACATGCATCTCTTTCGATGAAAACGTATTCTGGATTAGTAAGATTTTTTTTTTTTTTGAGAAAAAATTTATTTTCTTTTTGTTTTTTTTTCTTTTTTTCGGCTGGCCCATCATGCTGTTAATACTTTAGATCCTACATTCCCAGAGACTACATCCAAAGAATAACCAGCTTAAAATAATAAAGTTTTTGGAAGTTAGACTCCTCAGAGAAAATTAAACTACATGTTTCTACCTGTATTTCAAAATGTGTGACTGTGCCTGATGCGCCTGCCAGTAATCAGGAGATGGCCAGCAGTTAAGTAGGAAAATCCTGAACATCATTGGAATTACCAAGAAAGAACAAACAAAGCCAACAGCTGCTCAGCCCATCTTTTTTTCAGTGGTTTGCATCCTCACCCTCAATCTGTTCCTTGGCTTCTGCCCTGGAGCACAAAAGGTTAAAAACCAAACTTGGAGGAGTCTTTTGGACAGCCCCTGCTCTGAAGACAAAAAACTCTGTTTAAATCTCAGCTCCATTTCCTTACTAGTCAGGTGACCTTCATTATTTAACCTTTCTAAGCCTTATTTCCATCTATAAAATTGGAGTAACAGTACCGCCGACCTTGTATGGTTGCTGTGAGACTTAAATGAGAGGATCCTTGATACGGAATAAAGTCAACAAACGGATTGATAATGAGGACAGCAACAACAGAGCAAAGGGGAACAAAATCGAGCATAGTGTGTTTTCTGCAAGATTAAGCTTTTACATTCTGCCTTCAACAGTTTTCCTTTTAAATACTAAACTGGACATCTTCAGGCTGAAAATCCTACCCCTCATTTCTAAAGTCTTGGTGGACTGTTTCTTTTTTCTTTTAAGCAAGTAAGGTAAGCATACTTTTATTTGGGGTCTCAGCTGCTCTACCTCTAGGAATGATCCCTAAAAACCTGTAATGTGCTCAACTATTTAGTTATATCTTCTATAAAAACATTATGCCTATTATGTTTTAAATCTTCATTTTAAAAATATACACACAGATACATACATGTATAAAAAGAT